AAGCTCAGCAGGTCTGGCAGCATCTGTGAGGAGAAATCAGAGTTAAAATTTCAGGTCAGAACTGAGGAAGGGTCACCAGACCCAAAATGTTAACTCTGATTTCTCTTCACAGATATTGCCAGGCCTGCTGAGCTTTTCCAGCAACTTCTGTTTCTGTTTCTGATTTACAGCATCCACAGTTTTTTTGGTTTTTATATGAGACCACAGGCTGGGCAACTATTGGGAGATGCACGAGACCCATGGTAATCCCATTAGATCTATAAGCCACCATTAAATCCGAATGGGCTAACAGATAATTTTTCTCAAGTAAATCAATAATGAGCCTAATTGACATCCTGCCGTGAGTGGATGAGATTTCCATGTGAGGCTTGCCTACCATCTATAAATGCAGGACAGGTCTTTTGCCACTTGGAATTGAACACAATGACTCCCAGCCAATTTGTCTGTTTGTCTTCACAGATGCTGCCTGACCTGCTGAGCATTTTCAGAATTTTCTATAGACTTTCACCATCTGCAGTTTCTTACTTTGATGTGACATTAAAGTTGGGTTGATGCCATTCAAAGGCAATGTCAGGAAAAACATTTTCACATAAAGAGGAGTGAAGCAACTTCCCAGTGTCATAAAATCATCTTCCCAAAAAAGTTGTTGATGTTAGGTCAACTGAAAATTACATCGCTAAGATTGATCATTTTAAATTGTTTGTCCGTGAGAATCACTGCACTGTACGGGAAACGCTACAGAGAGCTGTTTAAACTCAGTGGCTAAGTGGAAGAAAAGTGATGAATTAGCATTTTCAACACAAGGTCTGGCATCCTATAACATTTGCTTGTTCAGAATCTGAATGTAGAATTCAGTATGTGATTTACATTTCTTTGTCCATTAAATTAATAGATGAGAGTTATCAAGCACTATTGATCTCCAAGTCTAAATTTCTGCTGTGAGTTCCTCATATCAAGCATTGCCTAAGGAACACTAACTCATTAAATCTGCCAATACAGTCAACCTGAAACAGCATTTTAATGAAAATATTTTAAAAGTTGGAAAATAAACATCAGATATTACCTCTATACTTCAGGAATTTTTCACAACAATTATATATTCTCACCTCCCCACTTAAAGGAATCAACAAGTAGCAAGAAGATGAAAGAAATTGTTTGTAGTTTCCAATATAACTTGCACAATGTCTCAAAGCTACAACTATTCCACATCTTGTATACGGTTCATCTGACAAATTCATTATTTAAGATAGTTTAATTTAAAAGGGCCCCACCGTGAAACAAAAACCTAAAAATCTAGAAATTAACAGCAAGACATCCCTTTGCATCAAGCAACCGTTATCTTACCATTTACATGTGGCACCATTGTGAAAATTACATACCCACAATATACATTTATAAAACATTTTAAAATGTAGAAAACAACTCAAAGCATTTCACTGACAAACAGCCAAGAAGAATGGATGCCAAGCAAAGGAGATGTTAGGAAGGAAAACCAAAAATGTCAATTCAGTTGGAAGTTTGGCAGGTGAAGGGCTTTAAGGAGGGAATTCCAGACCATAAAGCAGATGCATAGCTGCCAACATTAAGGCAAAGGGCATAGATGAAGAATGACAGCATCTATTTAAAGCTGAAAGCTATAATCAAATACCTTGTATTTAGTCTGTAACCATTAAAGATGATGTGAGCAATTGAACCTTGCTATCTTTTTCAAATTTATTCAGGGATGTGGACATCTATGTCTAGCATCCTTATTGTCCTGGAGAAGGATGTGGTGTGCTATCTTCAAGACTTGTTATAGACCTTGGGTTGTAGCCCAAGAGCTGTCAGGAAGGGAGTTTGAGAATGTTGACCCAGCTACAATGTCGGATCCTCTGCTAATTCAATCAGATGTTAAATTTCTTGTTTTATTTCTTTATTATATTACACAGCATTCTCTATTTAACATAAACGTGAGCAAAGGATATTATGAGCATATGAACACACTCATAATTTCATCTATGGTGAGAACAAACAAGTTATCTCTTACTCAGCCACTCAATAAAACTTACGCATTGTTGATAGATGCAGAGGACTTTTGTTTATCCAGATTATAATTGCTCAGTGTCACCAGAAACCACTTTAATTCTTGAGAACTGCAAACGAAATATGCAGGAAATGGGCAGCAGATCCAATAGCATCTGCAAACAAAAATGCAGATTAACATTGTGAGTGCTGATTTTGCTTTGGAATTTGATTTGTGACAAAGGACTTATAGCTGACTTATACACTCAACTAACTTCTCAAATGTTTAAAAGTAACCCTGTATCACAACATTTGCTGTTTTATTTCAGATTCCCAATAGCTCCATGATATTTTTATTTGATGTGAAGAAAAAGGATGTAGATCGTATATCAAGCGATCACACTGAAGTTCATATTCTGCACCATTTGTTTACAGTAATGTAACTGGAGGTTCATAATCTCTAAACCAATGACCCCTGTAATAGGATCATTGATTTGGCCATCAGCGTCATTACAGATCATTTCCAAAGTTCCAAAAGGCAGAGCATACAGTGGCAACTGAAATACAATGCACTTCAAAGAACACTACCAAACCAATGTACAATAAACTCTGAAACATGAAATTAAATTCTACTTCCCAATGTTTTCAAGAATCTACATTCTTTATTATTTCTTTCTGATGTCACTCTAAAAGCATTTGAAGATTTCCTTTTGGCATTCTCCATAAAATGTTTGAGTCAGAAAATACCATGAGCTGCCATTTGTCCGGAACTTCTTATCACTAATACTTCAACATGTCATCATTAGCTGTATTCCTTTGGTTTGAAACAATTTTAATCTCACTCAGCCTCATGACATTTCATCATTAATCTCTTTCACCAACGAGAGTTTGCATACCCATCTTAATATGAAATGACAACCATTTAAAATGAAGAATCACATATTGCTGGCCACTGAAGAATTCAGGCAATAAAGGTTGTAAGGGTAACCCAACAATTATGCACTGTTCAGTTTAACTTCAGTGGTGGGGAAAGCTTCTAGAAATAATTATTCAGTATAGAATTAGTAGTCACATGGAAAAATGTGAGTTGATTAAGGAGAACCAGCATTTCTAAAGGAGAAGTCATGATTGACCAACTTGCTGGAGTATTTTGAACAAGTATCAGAAAGAATAGATAAGGGTAATGTTGTTGATTTGGAATACATGGATTTCCAGAAAGCATTCGATAGAATGCCACACAATAGTCTCGGGAGAAAAGTTATAGCTCATGGACTGGAAGGAACAGAAACAGCGTAGATACGTTAGCTGAGTAACAGTGAGTAATGGTCAATGGCTGTTGGAAGGTTTGTAGTGGTGTTCCCCAGGGGGACAGTCTTTGAAACCTTGCTTTTTCTGATATATATTGATGATTTTGATTTTGGTATATAGAGGAAAATTTCAAAGTCGGTAGATGATGCAAAACGTGGCAACATTGTACAAGCTTTATTGCCTGAATTCTTCAGTGGCCAGCAATATGTGATTCTTCATTTTAAATGGTTGTCATTTCATATTAAGATAGGTATGCAAACTCTGGTTGGTGAAAAAGAGACCAATGATGAAATATCAAGAGGCTGAGTGAGATTAAAATTGTTTCAATGTGAGGAGTGTGGAACTCCAAGAGGACATAGATAAGTTGGTACAGTTGGCAGACAGGTGGCAGCAATGTTCCCTGTACGGGTTTGTGCCGCTGTGCAGACCTCCGAGGTCCGTGCATTGACAAGCTTCTGGAGGCAGAAGCCATTCATCTGCATGGCCAACCAGCTTGTACGGAGCTTCCCAGCAACTGTTCAGCTGCAGAGATTGATCGTGGAGAAGTGTGAGCTGATGCAGTTTGGTAGGAATTATAATTTTTAAGAGATGCAGGAGCAAAGATACCTGCGTACATATATGAACAGATCATTGGAGGCGACAGGCAAGACAGGTTGAGAGAACAGTAAGTAACGCATACAGATTCCTAGGTTTTATTCATAGTGACATAGAGTACAAGAGAATGGAGGTGATTTTGAACTTATACAAAATCCTTGTCAGACCTCAGGTGGAGTTGTGTCACGGACGGTACAAAGGTGGGTCGTGCTGTGGACAGTGCGGAGGGCTGTTCTAGGTTACAAAGGGACATTGATAGGATGCAGAGCTGGGCTGAGAAGTGGCAGATGGAGTTAACCCTGAAAAGTGTGAGGTGATTTATTTTGGAAGGACAAACTTGAAAGCAGAATATAGGGTTAACGGAAAGATTCTTGGCAGTGTGGAGGAGCAGAGGGATCTTGGTGTTCATGTTCACAGTTCCCTGAAAGTTGCCACCCAGGTGGATAGAGTTGTTAAGAAGGCGTATGGTGTGTTAGCTTTCATTAATAGAGGGATTGAGTTCAAGAGCTGTGAAGTTATGCTCCAGCTATACAAAAGCCTGGTTCCGCCACATCTGGAGTATTGTGTCCAGTTCTGGTCACCTCATTACAGGAAAGATGTGGAAGCGTTGGAAAAGGTGCAGAGGAGATTTACCAGGATGTTGCCTGGAATGGAGGGAAGGCCTTATGAGGAAAGGTTGAGAGAGCTAGGGCTTTTCTCTTTAGAACGACGAAGGATGAGAGGTGACTTGATAGAAGTGCACAAAATGATCAGAGGTATAGATACAGTAGACAATCAGAGACTTTTTCCTAGGGTGGAGGTAGCTATTCCGAGGGGACATAGTTTTAAAGTGAGTGGAGGTAGATATAGGGGAGACGTCAGAGGTAGTTCTTTACTCAGAGAGCGGTCGGGGCATGGAATGCATTGCCAGAGAGGGTAGTGGAGTCAGCCGCATTAGGGGCATTTAAGCGGCTGTTTGATAGGCATATGTATGATAGTATAAGGTAGGGGTGGAGGTTAGATAGATCTTAGGATTAGGGTAAAAGTTTGGCACAACATTGTGGGCTGAAGGGCCTGTACTGTGCTGTACTGTTCTACGTTCTACGTTCTAATTCTGGGCACCATATTTTATGCAGGATGTGAATGCATTGGAGAGAGTGTCAAAGAGGTTTACAAGAATGGTTTGCGGATGAGAATCTTCAGTACTGAGGGCAGATTGAAGAGAGTGGAGAAAAGAAGGCCAAGAGGAGATTCAATAGAAGCTTTCAACAAGATGATGTCCAGATATCGTAGATAGGGAGAAACTACTCCTTCACATAAAAAAAACCAGCAAGTAACTGCTGTAAGATAAACTTCTTCACCCAGAGAGTAGTCAGGGCATGGGATGCACTATAGATAAATTTGATGGAGGTAGGTCCAACTGAGGTATTCAAAAGGACACTAGATGACTGTGGAATAGAAACAACATGTGAGGGTACAAGGAAAAGGCACCAGAACAGTACTCAGTGACACTTTTCATTTGGAGAGCCGGTGCAAACAGAAATGAACAGTATCATCTCCTTATCAATCTTGACACTTCTTTGATTCTGCGACCCCAAATCACTCCTGACTCAGCAGTTCAAAACTTTTTTACCGTCTGGATTGTGAGCCTAGTAGGAAGGAGAGTTGGTTCCTCTTGGGGAGAGGAGACAGAAATTAGAATATGAGGATGAAAGCAGTGTTGAACAAGGAAAAGTGTTGTAAAAGCAGGGGGTTACTTTTGCAGAGATAGTGGGAACTGCCGATGCTGGAGAATCTGAGATAACAAGGTGTAGAGCTGGATGAACACAGCAGGCCAAGAAGCATCAGAGGAGCAGGAAAGCTGACGTTTCGGTTCTGGACCCGTTACTTTTGCAGTTGCTGACACGTATTGCTGTTTGAGCAGAAATTTTTAAGATTCATCCGACTACATAATGAAACAATGCAAATAAGGGTTCATTCCCCATGCTGACCAAGTCTGTACATTTCCAGCCATGTGTTTAATGCTTGTGTGGCTCAGTGGTTAGCACGCTGCCTTACAGCGCTAGAGACCTGAGTTCGATTCTATCCCTCAGGCGACTGTCTGTGTGCACGTTTTCTCCGTGTCTGCGTAGGTGTGCTGCGGTTTCCTCCCACAGTCTGAATATGTGCAGGCTAGGTGGATTGGGCATGGTAAATTTACCCATAGTGTTCAGGGATGTGTGGATTATAGGGGGAATGGGTCTGGGTGAGATGCTCTGAGGGTCGGTGTGGACTTGAGATAACAAGGTGTAGAGCTGGATGAACACAGCAGGCCAAGCAGCATCAGAGGAGCAGGAAGGCTGACGTTTCGGACCTAGACCCTTCTTCAGAAAAAAAGGACGCGTTGGGCGGAAGAGCCTGTTTCCACGCTGTAGGGATTCTATGATGAAATATATTCTCAAATTGCATGAGTTATCAGCGAAGCTAATTGAATATAGAAATTACTGGAATATAAACAACCCCAATAAGAGAAGTGGAAGGATTTGAGGCATCATTTACCTCCGTGCAACGAGAGTTTGTTTAAAAATGAATGCACGCACTCTGTTTTCAACCCTAGTTTATTCTTAACCAATTAAATGTGTGTTTGAAAATAGACACTCAATATTTCCTCGCTGGTGTTTTTGATTAAAAAAAACACAATAAACGTTTCTTTACAAACAATAATTTTTATTACATTGAGTAATAATTGCTGTGGTTGTGTGAGCTTTGCCTGCGATTTTCTTCAATTTAATTCAAGCCATTGCCAGTTACCATGCATGTTACTGCCTCGACCTTTTGACAATAAACAACACTAATTCGGGAACGTTCAAGTGGGGATCTGTTATATGTAAGTAATGTGGTACATGCTTTAAACAAATTCAGATAATAAAGATTCAGGGAACGCGCGAAACCATCTGACGTTTTCCTACAATTGTAACCGCTCCTGATACCACGTTTCTAAACTCTCACAGCTAATCCTTGCTGCAGCGCCTTGCTGGTGAGAGTCTGTACAGCCTCTGGCTCTCAGAAATCTGGCAACACAGCAGCCAGCGGCTAACAATGTGAGTGACAAGAGCTTCAGCCCTGTCAGCATTGTACAGCGCCCTGATCTGCCATGGAAAGGTATCAATTTCAAATTTTATTTGTAAAAC